AAAACTTGACAACCGTAAAGGTACGTTTACATTCAATTGGAATTGAATGTAAAAGTACCTTCACAGTTGTCACAGTTTTTTATACCCACGTCGTCATCTTAAATTATCAGCTGATTGGAATTGCCGACAAGTTATCCGCCGACCAATAGGATTATAGATTTATCTGGCAGATAGTTAGCAGAAAGTTTATCTAGAGAAAATTAAACCGGGCCCTAGAGGAGTTTGGAAGACGAGACAAAATCAAGAGCCGATGATAGATAAAAATTGACACGAAAAAATATTGTTTTCAAAGATAATGTGGAAATTTTCGGGTTTTCTTCATGTTCCGAGTTGGTACAAACAAAATAACCGGAGTAATGAAAACGCCATCTTCCTTTTTCAAAACAATGTCATATGAAAATCATCCATTTTCGAAATCGATTTTCCTGGTTTGCTGTTGCGTAGAGATTTTCATGATTTTTTCTATTCCAGGCTCTTGAATTTTTGCATTTTAACAAGTATTCCTCGTGTTCCGTATTCCAAAATCGAGACTTGGCAACGTTGAAATTCAATTAGTTGCATGTCCTAGTAGGACATGTAAAATTTAATATACATTCTAATCTGGCGATGACGTCACTTAAAGTTTGGTAATGAAAATTTACAATTGGCAACACTGAGACTGAATAAGTTACATTATCATAGTAGGCCAAGTAAAATTTACATAATTATCTTTCAGCTGGCGATACTAGAGTTAAATTTCTTGGTACCATAGTAGATTAGTTCGGAAAATTATCCTTGAAATTTCTAACACCTGTCACTCATTTGAAATTAATTTTCGCCTACTAGACTGTAAACAGTGTCAGATGTCAACCTGAAAACTCTAGGCAACCATTTTTATTTGAAAATTTTTCAAAGATAAACTTGAAAACGGTTGGATAACTCTTTTTTTGACAGTTATGACAACGCATACACTGGTTGCCAACAATATTTTCGTAGCTCTCCGATTCTCCAAGAATAATACACACTACTACTACAGAAAAGCCTATCTTGTGTGGAACAAATCCCCCTTTCCGCCCCTGCGCCAAATCACCAGTTCTGACGAAAGAAGCATGTTATTTCTTGCCTTGACGTAGGCTGTTCAAATAGCTTATGACGTCGAAAATGGAGACACACCAATATAGCGATGATTACCAAAAACGAAGCCAATAAGCAATCCTGTAGATGTGTATTATCCTTAGTAAGGATAATACACACCTACAGGAATTCCTTAGCAATTTCCCGTTAGGACTTTCCTGGCGTGACGTAGAGATTTCCATTTTTCATGAATGTTTTTCGTACTCCAGTTTGAAAGTTAATAGATTGTCTGGTAATGGGGAATTTGATGACGCATCTGGGGTGCCTTATGAAGATTTGCATTATGTTGAGGTACCCCGGATGACGTCATAAAGTTATTAGCAGTTCCAGTTCCAGCCCACCTTTCTCAAACAACCTTGGGTTTATTCATCTTCAAATAACCTTGCTGGTAACTATCTGCAAGATAGATTTACCGTTCCATAATTCTATTGGTTGGCGAATAACTGGCCGACCAATGAAATTACAGATTGAGTAGAGATTTTCATTTTACACGCATGTTTTTTCTATTCTAGGCACTCGAATTTAGTTTATTTAGAACAGGTTCATTCGCTTTCCTATAAACTGACAGGTCACGATGAAAACGCAATTTGTAATCAAGGTTGTTTGAGAAAGGTAGGTTGCCTGATAACTTTATGACGTCATCTGGGGTGCCTCGACATAATGCAAATCTCCATTAGGCACCTCGAATGCGTCATTAAGTTACCCATTATCAGACAATTTATAGCTTTAGGAACGTTAATCTGTAATCCCATAGGACAATTTGACGTTTTGTCAATTCAATATGGCGCCGTGGACCAATCAAACTTGACAACCGTAAAGGTACGTTTACATTCAATTGGAATTGAATGTAAAAGTACCTTCACAGTTGTCAAGTTTTTTATACCCACGTCGTCATCTTGAATTATCAGCTCATTGGAATTGCCGACAAGTTATCCGCCGACCAATAGGATTATAGATTTATCTGGCAGATAGTAAGCAGAAAGTTTATCTAGAGAAGATTAAACCGGGCCTTAGAGGAGTTTGGAAGACAAGACAAAATCAAGAGCGGATGATAGATAAAAATTGACACGAAAAAATATTGTTTTCAAAGATAATGTGGAAATTTTCGGGTTTTCTTCATGTTCCCAAGTATGCATGAAGTCCGCCGAATCATAACAGGGGGGCTTGAGATTTGAACTAGTGAAATAATCAGGTAAAAATGTCAAAAGACTCAAAAAAATATACAGCTTTTAGAATATCTGATAGAGGTAATTTTGAATTAAGAGATTACCATTCGGACTTACAAATGCACCTGCAACTTTTCAAACGATAATACGAGAGCTTGGAATAGAACTAATAGAATCCATATTTGGTCTCATGATTTCATCCTAATTTACCCCAAATTTCCTCTCAATTTTTGCTTATTCCCGGCTCTTGAATTTTTCTTCTAAGCTTCTTCAAATAGAAAATATTGTGAAAAATATAGATATATGAGGATAGGCCATCCTGTAGTAGTAGTGTGTATTATCCTTGATTAACATTGATGCAAACATGAGAACAAAAAAATGGCGTGTATAGCAACAGTTTTAAAAATTAAATAGTTTTTTAATCAGTCAATGTGATTTATATGGCCGTCCAGGTCAAATTTTGATGACATTCATAAAAAAGCATTTGTATTCTGGCCCTTATTATTAACATGTCATTGCCAATGTCAGAATGTAACAAAATAAGTAATTTTTCATTGATTTTTATCAGTAACCTAAATGTAAACAATATACTGTCTAACCAGGAAGCGGATTCCGTGCACTGTCCAATTTTATAACGACATGTCCGTGTAAGTACCGTTTTCTACACCATTTCGTCTTATAATAAATGTAGAAATCGACACTAGAGTTCGACATGTAGAAAGCAACAGAGCACAGAATCCACGTCCTCAACTTCCATATTGAATTTCGTTTGACAGATCATGGGATAGAAATTTCAAATTTAAATCATTCCCGTCTCATGTTTTGAATTCAAGAGCTAGGAATAATCATAATTTGAACATTTTTAACAGATCGAACTCATTCAGACGCCATTTTAATGCTTTTTTTTCGGACATTGACATTGACGCAAACATTGAAAATAACAAAATGGCGTATAGCAACATCGTCGGTATCGTCATTTAATTTAATTGTTGATAAAATTTTAATTTTAAATTGATTCGAGTTGAAGAGCCAGGAACAATCAAAATTTGAAAATTTTTGGCGGATCGAACCCAGTCAGACGCCATTTTAATAATATATATTTTTTTTGACATTGATATTTAAGGATGATACACGCTTACAGGATTGCTTATCGGCTTCGTTTTTGGTTTTTGACGCCATTTCCTACGTCATAACTAAGTCAACAGTCTACGTAAAGGCTTTTTTAGCGTAAGGTAGGAAGAGTGAGAATTGTTCCACACAGGCCTTATGAGGGCCAGTTTCTCAATAGGAGGTCACCCCCGGGTTAAGGAAAACTTCAGAGTAAAAATCATTTTGAAGCTTATCGCCATTGACAGTTATAGCATCTTATGTTGGCTACACTGAAAATTCAAATTTTGACGCCATCTTTATCTGCAAAATGTAACAGTAGTAGTTATTTTGTGATCTCTTATAGCATGTTTTCATTTTTCTACACACTATTAGCATAAAGACTCTGTAGAGGAAGCAAAAATGTAAATACGCGATCAGATTTTGAGTTTCCTACACCCTGTAAGTCTCAGTTGCATGCTTCTACACTTTTTGATTGTGTAGAAGACACAAAAATCCAAAAGAGAGGTTTATTTGGAGGGTGTTTCGTATAAATATATAAGATATCTGGAGTAAATTGAAGTACCATCGTCACTAAAAGTATCTGGGGACAAAAATAATTGATATTAATCTCCTGGAATCATTCTACCATCGTACCATCATTCATACTTTGACACTAAAAATCATATAATAGTACAAGAGCTAATATAACGATGGTACCTACACGGAAATTTTGGAAATTATTGAAGATATACAGGGTGGACCAAATGGGAAAAAAGTTGTGCAAGCAAGTATACCTATACGAATAATCTGTCATCAACTCCTTTGAAATCGGAAAAAGAACGTTTATATGTATACAAAGTTTCTATAGAAATCAGCGCAAATAATGTTTTTTTTTTTTTGATATAGAAAATTTGAAATTGTCATACTTATTTTCCACTATTTATTCATACAAATGAGTGAGAAGGACATTGAAAAAACAGCATTTAGTACAGAAAATGGCCATTTCGAATCTTTGAGAATGCCCTTTGGGTTATCCAATGCCCCAGCCACATTTCAAAGAGTCATGGATTACGAGGAATCCAAAACGAAAAGTGACTATAGTTCACCTCGATGACATTATAGTCTTCTCGTTGTCATTACAGGACCACTATGCATTATGAAAATAGAAAAATTTCGGCATTTTCTCAATAATTGTACAAAACTGTCTCAAATCTCTCATAATTGGATTAAAGAAAAGTAATAAACATAAATTTTCCTTGAAATCTACAACTTTGATCAAAAGTATTTACAAGGTAAGTCTGAAACTGATAATCATCTAATCCTCATAGTCATATATACATTTAATTATTAACAATTTATCGGTGTAATACATTGAAGAACGCCCCTAAGCCTCCTTGATAATAATTAAAAAAGAGCGATTTTTAATTTGAAAATGTTCAAGGCATACCTACCCATATGGGATTTTAATTGCAATTTTATTCATATGGGGTTCACCTTGAAAGAGTTCAGAATTTTTCTTGTTGAAGATATAATACCTAATACAAGTGCCAGGAAAAAAAAAATAATTTGTTTCATATAATAATTATGTTAATGGCCAAATTGCGCTTTATGGTAAAATTTCCAATTACTTACCAAAATGTCCAGTTGAAAACAGAAATCCAAAAAAGAAAAAATATCCACAAAAAAAAGTTTACAATACACAAAAGACACACAACTAAAAAAGGTGGCGGTACGTTTTCGGCACTTGTCTTCAGTCAGGTATCCAACTCGCGTACTGAACCGCGGGTACCACCACGCAGGTAACCCGGGTTCACCTGTTTGAATATACAAAAGGTGGGGCGACGCGATTCGCAGATGAAGAGAATACATTAAATTTTGTATAGCTTTTGTTCTATGGGTTTTATTGGAGATGAAAGAGGTAAATTGAGGGTTGAAAAAGTGGATATTTTCAGATTTTTCTGGATCTTTTTGCAGTTTCTTATAAAAAATATAGTCTCAGACATTTTATTTGACACGCGAAATTTAGATAATTTACTGAATCTCTCTGATTCCATTAGAAAATGGACTAAGAAATACAAGAATTAATTAATTAATTAATTAATAATCGATTCTCAAAATATTTAATTATATTGAACACGAGTGAACTTGTAGAACTAAACTGCATATCAAAAGAAATACAAACCTTTTCTTAAGTAAACATTTTTTCATTTATTTATCTTAAATAAACACATTCAGTCATCCTAGCTACAATATAAATAAGCAAAAGCAAAAAAATTAAAGTTTGAGTTATTTATTTTTAGTTTGCTGATCCTCCTGGTATACAAAGTTTCCCTAATAAATATTCCAAAGTCATTTCTGGATTTTTTCCACATATTTTCTAAATCTTCTTGGATCTCTGGAAATCAATGTTGTCAGATGTCAAATTTAAAATTTTCAGGATTTGAGAACAAAATTATCAGAAAAAGTTTCTGTCAAATTTTTGACTTTTCATCTCTATTTTCATTTTTCGGGTTCTAGCTGAAACTCTGACAATTGTAGTTCTCAATAAGAGCTTCAAAAAAGGTTATTCAAGACTTCGAGCCTAAGGGCTTGATTTTCAAGATAATGGGCTTTGAAGCTTTTGCAAAATCTGAGACAAAGTCTTAACTTTGAACCTCAATATCTTCAAAAGTATTTAAGATATAGAATTGAATCTTATTTTATCTTGAAGATAATTTAATTCTGATTCAGAATATATAATTTTACATTATATTTGTTACAATAATAACCGAGTAATCAGCAATTTTGTGAATGAATGTCAGATTATTGAAATTTTTTTGAGCCCAAAAATTTGCAAAAATCGTTTTTATTTTTTAACAAAGCTTCAAAACCCAAAAAGGAGAGTTGCGAAAATGCTTTTCCACTAATTTCAACCTCTTCTTTCGATTGATGAAGTCAAAAATTCGAAAAACTGAAAATTTAAAAATTCGAACTTTTCCAAAGGGGTATGATGGAAATTTGATTTCCAAATAATTCAAAGAGCCATATTTTGGAAACCAGTGAAGCTATTGGCATGAATCTTTTGCTCAATTGTAGCTCTTAATAAGGGCTACAAAAAAGGTTATTTAAGACTCCGAGCCCAAGGGCTTTGTTTTCAAGATAATCCGCCTGGAAGCTTTTGCAAAATTTGAGGTAAAATTCAACTTTGAGCCTCAATATCTTTACAAGTATTTAAGATATAGAATTGAATCTTATTTTATCTTGAAGATAATTTAATTCTGATTCAGAATATATAATTTTACATTATATTTGTTACAATAATAACCGAGTAATCAGCAATTTTGTGAATAAATGTCAGATTATTGAAATTTTTTTGAGCCCAAAAATTTGCAAAAATCGTTTTTATTTTTTAACAAAGCTTCAAAACCCAAAAAGGAAAGTTGCAAAAATGCTTTTTCACTAATTTCAACCTCTTCTTTCGATTGGTGAAATCAAAAATTCGAAAAACTGAAAATTTAAAAATTCGAACTTTTCCAAAGGGGTATGATGGAAATTTGATTTCCAAATAATTCAAAGAGCCATATTTTGGAAACCAGTGAAGCTATTGGCATGAATCTTTTGCTCAATTGTAGCTCTTAATAAGGGCTACAAAAAAGGTTATTTAAGACTCCGAGCCCAAGGGCTTTGTTTTCAAGATAATCCGCCTGAAAGATTTTGCAAAATTTGAGATAAAATTTCAACTTTGAGCCTCGATATCTTCACAAGTATTTAGGATATAGAATTGAATCTTATTTTATCTTGAAGATAATTTAATTCTGATTCAGAATATATAATTTTACATTATATTTGTTACAATAATAACCGACTAATCAGCAATTTTGTGAATGAATGTCAGATTATTGAAATTTTTTTGAGCCCAAAAATTGCAAAAATCGTTTTTAATTTTTAACAAGGCTTCAAAACCCAAAAAGGAAAGTTGCAAAAATGCTTTTCCACTAATTTCAACCTCTTCTTTCGATTGGTGAAGTCAAAAATTCGAAAAACTGAAAATTTAAAAATTCGAACTTTTCCAAAGGGGTATGCATGGAAATTTGATTTTTAAATAATTCAAAGAGCCATATTTTGGAAACCAGTGAAGCTATTGGCATGAATCTTTTGCTCAATTGTAGCTCTTAATAAGGGCTACAAAAAAGGTTATTTAAGACTCCGAGCCCAAGGGCTTTGTTTTCAAGATAATCCGCCTGGAAGCTTTTGCAAAATTTGAGGTAAACTTTCAACTTTGAGCCTCAATATCTTCACAAGTATTTAAGATATAGAATTGAATCTTATTTTATCTTGAAGATAATTTAATTCTGATTTAGAATATATAATTTAACATTGTATTTGTTACAATAATAATCGAGTAATCAGCAATTTTGTGAAAGAATGTCAGATTATTGAAATTTAAAAATTCGAATTTTTCCAAATGGGTATGCATGGGAATTTGATTTTCAAATATTTCAAAGGGCCATATTTTGGAAACCAGTAACCAAGTTATTAGCATGAAACTTTGGCTCAATTTGGGACTAGTGTTTGGTGCTAGCACCAGTACGTCAAAACACTTAAAACCAACAACCACCTTCAATTTTTTAATAAATTTTTAAATTTTTAACTAGAAATTTGAAAAATCCATATTAAAATTGTAGTTTCAATAAATTATGGTAGATTAGCTTGTCAGTATCGATTATTATGAATCGTAGTCAAAATTATGGTAGAATTCGATAATTATCGGGTCATTGGCAACACTGCTGGGAATCTCCTTGATATCTTTACAAAATCTTTTCAAGAAGTATCTCTTGAGATATGTATCTCTTTAATATTCTTATGGAGCTTCTCAGTAATATTCTTATCTCGTTGGAGCTTCACTAGATATCTTCAGAGAAACATTTTCTTGACAATATTTCCTTGTTATAACTCATTTTGTCTATTCCAGGCGTTAGGCTCTCAGAAATAATTCTGAAGTTTTAAAGTTTCAAAGTGCTGCTGGAAAGTGTTTTGGAACGTTCTAAATGACTTGCTGAAGTTCTACAGTGTTCTAATTTGGCTTGAAGAGTTCTGGAGCATTTTAGAAGTTTTTCAGTAATTTTTGACAGATTTTTAGGTATTTTAAAGTCCTATTAAAGCTCTAAAGTGTTCTTAAATTGGTTCAAAATTGTTCTAAAAGGTTTTCAGTTCTAAATTGAATCCTAATCCTAATATTGTTCAGGATTAATTCTGAAGTTTCTCAATTGTTCCAAAATGCTCTGGAAAATTCGGATTTGGATTTGAACTGTTTTGGATGCTTATCAAAAGTTCTACAGCAACCTAAATTTACACTTGAAATCCTTTTGAAAGGCATTTTAAATATCCCTTTCTCGTTTGTTGTGATCTATCATTTATTTATTGATTTATTTATTCAGCTTAAATAGTTTTGCAGCTGCAAAGTTTCAAAGACTATGATTTTTATCAGGAAAATAACACCAACTTTGTTAATTTGAATTCGGAAAGGAAAATTATGAAACTTTCAGGGGAAAAAGAGGAAAGTTAAGAGTTCATCATACTAAAATTTCAAAATGAATATGTGCCTGTCAAAAATCCGTCTAGCAATTTTCACCAAAAGTGATATTTATTAGGCTCAGATAACATCTGGACTTTGTTTGCTTACAGGGGGGCTCACCTAAAAAAAAAGTAACACAACGGCAGAAAAATTGTTCACGGATTTGTAGTTTGATGACTCAAATCAATTGGAAAGAGCATTAAAAAAACATTCAAAGTTATTTATAAAATCTCAATATCAACATCAGAAGTTCCATTTACTTATAGTGGACCACCCTGTAGGTACTTAATTTACTTGTTTACATTAAAACCGGAGGCATAATCCAGGCATTTGAAAAATGAATAGAGTCAGCTCTTATAGGTTATGTTTTTGTTAATGAATGTATAGAAAATACTCATATAAACATAAATAACATGTCAACAAAAAGTTTCAGCTCGCATTCCAAAGTGTCTAGATTTTTCCAGATAATTAACTTGACTCCTGGACTATTATTAGGCCTACTAATCAACTATTGACCGAATTTTCATAAATCCTTTAATGACAGGCTTTGCAAGAGTGCACCCAATACCTCCATGAGTGTCTCAAAAGAAGGAAATACTTTTAAATTGCCTTTTTGAAAAATATAGCTACAACTGGATAGCTAGGTACATATTTTATCTTTCTGGCAATCAGCTAATGTGTAATAATATGCACCTTCATATTGAATTCATTTTGGAAATAGCTAAAAATGTTAGTGGACTACCATTAGGAATTTAGTGTTAATTTGAGTTAGTTGGGTTGTTGCTAGTGGTAGTGGTTTGAAATTTGTGATAATTAGGACTTATTTTGAGACACTTTTAAGACATTGGAGCATTATCTACACACAAACATTTTTGGATGATTTCCAGTGACAGTAGCTATACCATTTGTAGCTATGGATTTAAAATGGCTTAAACAGCCATTCAATTGAAAACTGGACAAAAATATTTTTTTTTTTTTGGGACACTCTAGTATTCTATTATAACAGTACCTACATCCAGCATACAGCATTTTTTTCAAATATGTAGTACGCATCAGCATTCTTTTACAGCAGCACCTATATCCAGAATTTTCCTGGATCATTCATCTCTCGCACAGAATTCATTCATACTTTTGGAAAGCCAAGTCAAAAGAAAATTAATGATGAAAATAAGCGCGTAAGATTTTCTGGAAAACTTCTTTCTCTGACATT